TCTATGAAAATTTTCTAATAGGAACAAATGTTGAGGGAAATTTTTTTAGGGGAGCTCAAAAGGTTTGCTTGAATAAAGTAGCCTTTTTTGTTTGCTAGTTTTACAGTTAGGATCCTTTTTGTTATTATTAAACGTTTTGTTCTTGGTGTGAATGGCCATTTAAGATGCAGTCACTTATATTTGGGTTCTGAAAAAATCAAGTCATTTTAATAGGAATCAGTGCAATTTGGAACATCTTGAAATAGATTCCTCACTCAGATTATGACTTCTGCATGAGTTATTCTTCACTTCCTGCTTCTTTCTGTGGCAAATTCCTTAAGAAAGTTGCACTGCTCAATTTAGGAATGAATCTTTAATGCAGTTAAGTTTATTTTTTGGGAATAATTTGATGAAAATTTTTGCCCTTAAAGCAACCCTGTTTCTGAGATCAACCTTCCTGCAGAATTCAGCTCTAACCCTGATCATACACAACTAAACCAACTAAGGCCCCGTTTACACTGCCAGCTAAATGTGAATCAATTCCAAATTTTTTGCTTATAAGTGACACAGATCAGATCTATTCTATGACCAGGTAAACACACACAAAAAAATGCATTCTGATATTCAAAGATCGATTTCAGGCCTCTTTCATATGTGGAAATAAATCAGATATATATCAGATATGTGACGATGCAACTATCATGTAAACAGGCAGATCGGATTTATTGAGGCATTCTGTTTTGTACGCCATAACACTTGCTACAATGTGGTACTTCTTTGTTTATGTAGAAGTAAGAGTGTTTGTGTGTGCTCATCCTAAAATTTCGGACCCACTGCTCCTCATTAAAGCCCGCCACAATTTCCTCCCACCAGACCTGAGATCTTTCTAGTACCCACTAATTTCTCTCCATGGTGGAGAACACCCTATATAAAGCATAGATGCAAGCTGCGATGATGGTCTTTTCCCTTCTTCTCCGCCTCATAATGATTTTATAGTTGGGTGAACTTCGCATATTTCGCAGAGCTAAAAGCAAGACAATTTCTTTCATCATGGCTAGTGTGGTGCAGATGCTAGAACCCGACTTTACTCATGTGCAATGTTGTAAATTGTATGGCAAGTGTACACATGAATTGGATATGTGTCACAATTAAAGAACGTGTAAACGGACAGGCAAAAAATCAGAAATAGGCAACAAATAAGAATTGAGCATCAAGACCTGACAGTGTAAACATGACCCAAGTAGGATCCGAAGGAGCACTTGTTAATTAAAGACAGGTGTGTTTGGTCAGGCAGGAAGATAGATATCCAGGAACAGGATTGGGCACCTCTGCCCTAAAGGATGAACACATTGATGGGGGGAATAGGAAAACTGCTATTTTTAAAAATATTTTGCAAGCAATTGGAAATTTCTATAAAAAAGTTTTCCATTAAAAACAGAAACCTTTTCTTGTGAATGAAAGTCACTTGGGGTGGCTCAGAAGCTTTGCTTATAATAAAATACAATTTTTTTAGTGCTGATTTTAGGATCCTTTTTGTTATCATTTTACAGTTGTTTTTTTTCTTTTTGTGAATGGCCATTTAAGATGCAGTCACTTTTATTTGGGTTCTGGAAAATCAAGTCATTTTGATAGATATCAGTGCAATCTGGAACATCTAGATTCCTTATTATGACTTCTGCATGAGTTATTCTTCACTCCGTTATAACCAGTTGACCTTTTTGCTTATTTAAAGGCTTTAGTTTACCCAAAAATGTATTTGTTTGTTAATAATTACTCACCCTCATGTTGTTCCAATCCCCTGAGAACTTTTGTATTAAGCATGTATTAAGATATTTAAAAAGAAATCTGAATTACTCTCTGGTAACAATACATTGTTATAGTTTAGAAAAGGAACCAAAAATATAATTTAGAAAAAGAACCAACAAAACATTCTATATGATTTCTGTGGTTCAACTGCAATCATACGAAGCTCCAAGAACATTTTTGTCTATCAAAAATGGTCAGGGTGTGCATTTATTATAGGCAATATGATGTATTGAGTCGGCAGCACAAGATGCAAGCATCATATTGTCCATAGTAAACCTGCACCCTGACCTGATGCGGGAGACATAGGCACACATAATTTTTTGCTGCATATTTTTGCTTTATAAAAATGTGTTTATGGAGCTTTGTATGATTACAGATGAACCACTGAAGTCACATGGCACGTCACAAGAAATCCTTTTGATAAATTTTCTGGACTTTGAATCTCTCAGGATTGTGGAGGGTCAAAGAGCTGTCAGATTTCATATAAAATATCCCAAATTGGGTTCACAGATTAGCAAAGTTTTGTGATGACCCAAGGGGGAGTGATTAATAACAGAATTTTCACTTTTGGATGAACTAACCTGCTAAGTTTGGTGAAATCTAGCTAATATACTACTGTATAGAGCACAGAATACAACACATCAGTCACATAAATGACTCCTAATGACTGTTGTGGTACTTTTGAGAGCTTAAAAGCCTTCTTTGTTGCTACAGTGTATTCATAAACATCAACCCAAAATAGCTCAAGCCTTATGGGTCTGAAACGACCAGAGCCGATGACAGAATTTTCATTTCTTAATGAATGACTCCATTAGGAAGTTGCTTTCTGCATCTTTAAAAACATATTACCTATTAGGGCCGCGTCTCAGTTTCCAGGAAAACATGAAGAATGAGAGCAATCCATGGCCCGCATTGAGCTTTCTGGAGTGCACTTTACCTGTTCCCTCTGCCGTAATGATTTTCAAGTAGGAAGAGGAAAGAACAGAATGTAGAAGTGAAGAGAGGAGAGGGAAATGAAAGTCCTCCTTCAACCACCTAAGAAGCAATTTACAACAAAACCAGCAGCCAGCAGATGCAGTGCGTTCATCTCTGTTGGTGGTATTTGATTAACTCCCTCAAGGTCTGGAAATAAGGTCACTAAAATATGATTTGAAATCCCTGCTTTGTGTTAAATGCTCATTTGCATTTTTCTCTCCTCGCTAAAAGCCGACGGGATTAAATTAGCCGCTCTGAGCATTACTTATTTGTCCCTTTAACTTGAATTATAAAGTGCATAAAGTTTGATCAGAAGTCATATTTTGCTGCCAAATGGAGGAAAATTATCGTCCTCAGAAGTTCTCTCCAATTATCATATTCCATAGATCATTCTTAGTTTTTTTAAATGGCTAATGATCACACGTTCTGCATTATTCAAGACCATCAGTTCTTAGAATTGAATAATAATAGCATGATAATTTATGCCTATTGTTTTTATCCTGATGGATTTCCTCTGATTTTTAAATCAGCCTGTCTGCGAAGGCACTAGAGGATGGCTGATTCCTCCTCTTTGCAAAAGGTCATATAGGCCAAGGCAAATTTCTTTCAGATGGATGTATCCCTCCCTTGTTTTTTAGCGCTAAAAGCTGCATAATTACAATGACCCCTTATAATTTGCGAGCTAATGACAGAGTGAATTTACAGTGTGATCTGGGGTTTCGGATCCCTTCAAGCTTGAAAAGGTTAGGGAAAACAATCTGCTCTTCCCTAAATGACATTATTTAGGTGGGGCCAGGCTACTGCTGGTAAGTGAGCAATGTGATGCTTGTATAAACACTGCATGTGAGTGTCAGTGACAGGGCCGGGCTGTAGGAAATTGAAGAGAGACTGTGGAAAATTAAAGGCTGGACAGGCAATGAGATGAGAAGGTTGATTTGAAGGGGCTCTTGAAAGTTAAATGCCCACCGCCTGTCAGACTCACACAACTTGAATTAGCTGTTAGCCAAGAGCCTTTTTTTGTGAAAAGTAGGATGATCTAATAAAGTATGTGTATATCAAAATTAATAATAGTGAGAGTAATGATGAATGTGACTTGATTTGGCTTTATGTTGGGCATTCGTTGTTTTTCCATTTGTGTTATTGAGATAAAGCATGATTATATTGTTATTGTGTTTAAAAACATAATAATTAAAATATGTCATAAACATTTTTTATTTATTTATTTTTTATTTTGACAAATTTTAAAATGTTGTTTATTCCTGTGAATAAAATGTAAATATTCAGCAGACATTACTTAGTAATTTGGGTAAGACTGAGATAAACTACCTTTCAAATATTTGCCTTGATTATCTTTAAAAAGATTTATGGATGCATTTAATTTAATTATTTACAAAATCCCAAGTACCAATGCAACAGCTGAGGCAGCAGTTGACATGGTATCATGCGATACTGAAGATAGATAAACATTCAGTTTTTTAATCACACACATAAAATCAAATTCTCTAATAATAAATAGAAAGCAGTTAATTGAATTTTAAAAATATTACTGTTTTACTTAAGTATATAAATGTATGCAGCCTTGGTAAGCATTAGTGATTTACATTTACACATTTACATTTTTTTAATTTAGCAGACTCTTTTATCTAAAACAACTTAGAAGTGAGGATAAAAATAGCACTTTAAATCAGCAGAGAACAACACGTTTACATTAGTTTAGATTTAATTTTTTGCACAATGTTTCCCATAAATATAAGGCATTGATTTAAAAAAAGTCTCTGGTTCATACAGAGGGGTGAGCTTGTGCCCTAAATGTGGTTGTCAAATCCCCTCACCTGTTAGAGCACCCTCAGAATTGCATAAAGTTTTTCCAAGAAGCACTGGGTGTTTAAAATGATTCCAAGATGCGTGGGGAGTTTATAATATTAATTAAAAAAAACATTAGAAAGTTTTAATTATTCCAAGTTTTTGATCAGTAGTGTAAAAAAAAGGATTTAAGTTGACATATTAGTTTTTACAAATTTAAATGGATTAAACATAAAATATTAGGTTGTTCCAAAAACCCCCAAGAATGGTGTTTTTGGCTTATTTTAAATAAGCAGTTAAAAAAAACTATAATCATTTTTTATTGTCATTTCTTTAATGTATAGTATTTAAGCATATCAATGCAACAAGCTTGTTTTAAGGATGTTTAGACATTGTATTTAAACTCAAGAAGATCCTTTCTGTGGTTTGTCTTGCAGGAAGGTTCTGAAGGAGATTCCTGTTGGAGATCTGAAACCCAATGAAACGGTCCATGCCACTCAAGAGGCACAGCTTCTCTCTCAGCTCAGCCACCCAGCCATCCTTAAATTCTACAGCAGCTTCCTGGAGAGAGACGCCTTCTGTATCATCACTGAGTTTTGTGAGGTAAACTGATTTACTTTTTGCTAATTAATACAACACAGGTTCATTGGGAAAATGTGCCCAGGGATACATGTTTGAGAACCGAGAAATATGTGCTTGCTGGTACATATGTCAGCATTTTGTGTGTAAAATTAATGTTACAAGGCAGTTTTTACCTCAGTATGGATGGCTTTTTGCGTCTGACTGGTCTGCTCGGTTGCTCACCATGAATGGCGTCAGACCTGGGACCTACAGCAGACTGGGATTTGAGTCCATCAAAGGACGGTTCCAGAAACTAGGTAAAACAAACCCCAAAAAAATCCAAGTGACTTCATATTAGAAGCTTGTGGCTGCGATAGCTTTTCTTTTCTAGTTTGCTGGATCAGTCGATATCAAGCTGATTATGCACAGCCACAAGCCAAATGGAAACTGTGAAAACAGAAATTGCAAGAGGATGTGACCCTCTGTACATATATCTTAGTTTTCAAAAATGTATCCCTGGTAACATAATTCCAATGAGCCTGGGTTGAATGAATAATTAGGTCATAAAAATTTTATTTTAATTACTTTAGTTGCCTGAAAAGTAATTTGATTACTTGACTCAATGCTCCTGAAGAATCTTTATGAAGCTAGACACTTAAACATAAAATAAACTAATTAAGCTAATGTTTTAATCCCATAACTTTGAGTCAAACAGAGCCTTTTAGCTTGAATAAAAATTTAATTCTTAAAGTCCTCGTGAAATCAAATTAAAGTTTTTTAGATGTTAGTATCAGTATGTTAGTTTAAGGATATCTATAAGCAAGTGTGCACCAAAACAGTGACACAATAGAAGCTCCACCCTAAATTAATCCTACCTCACACTACAGTTTCTCATCAAATCTTGTGTCTAATCAAATGCAGGTATCCGACATGTCCCAACCCCTCGAAGACACTTCTCATTTGCTTTTTATTTGATGTGCTTGATCCCAGCAACTCTCTGACTGATACTCGCAGAGATGTGATAAAAAGCTAAATGCTATAGGCTGTTTTGTAAAAAGGGGAGGGGCTACTCTGTGCCCTGCCCTGTCTACTGTTTCAGGTGAAATTACAGCACACATTTCAAAGCAAGGTACCTTTAAGAAAAGTTAAAAGTATCAAAAGTTTTAAAAGTTAACTCAATCTGGGAAATCACTTCAGGATCATCCATTTTATATTGGTTTAAAAATATATATACAAATGACATTTTAGAGAATTCATGAAATCAAAAGGCACACTATTTTCTTTTTTTTAATACATACTGATCTTACTGTGCATCACACTGCAGTGCAAAACGTCATTGAAAAAGTAACAACTTGCTCTATTTTCCTTTCTCCTTCAGTGCATTATAGTAAATACATTACATTACATGAGTAAAATAGGTTGCACATGAGTTTAGATGACTTGGTAGCCATAATTCTGGGTTTCCAACCAGCCCTCCATTACTTTACTTATAGCGTCCTGCTTTTTCTCCATCCCTGCAGTGCATTTTCTGTGTTCAGCAATGGTTTAGAGATGCTGAGAGCATCCTGGTATTACCCAGAGGTCACTCTCATCTCCTCTATAGCTTCTGTGTCAATCTCTCCATCTGATCTTCTCATCTTTTGCTTGCTTATTAGGACACATCTGCAGGTCAGAACAGTCTTGTGTCATCTCTGCCTTATGCTTTGGAAGGCTTGGTCAGTGATTATTACATTCTGCACGTCTCTGTTATCTCTTTCTTTGCCACAAAGGCTGCTGTCCAGAGTGTCTTTGTTCTGCTTTTAAACTCTCAGTGAATTTAATGGACGTTCAGAAACTGAAATAAAATCAGCAATGAGATCTCTGATCGTTTCTCCTTGACTGCTTTGAGAACAAATAAAAAAGCAAATGAAGATGTTTGTCTGTTTTTTCAGATAGTGAAATACGAGATATTGAATTGCGTACTATTGATCTCTCATCAAGAGTTTCTGAAGAGATCACAGACTAAGAAATGCCAGAATCAATCTATGAAAGACACACTGTTCTCATCTTATCTCATTTGTGCTAATGTTTATTAACGCCATTTGTAGTGATTTTATATCCCGACACCATCCACACTCCTGAAACTGCAAGTGATGTTTAGAGTAATAAGTACATATTTGCTACACTTATTTTTTCCTCAATAACAAAATTAAAATGACAGTGGAGTTCTTAAAGTAGTGGTCCACTACTGTCATATTTTAAACTTTAGTTGATGTGTAGTGTAGCTGTGTAAACATAACAACATCTCTGAATGTAATACGCTCAAAGTTCAATGCAAAGGTAGACATTGGCTTTTACATAGTCAGCTTAGCAAAGCCTACAGGGAAAGAAGTTTTGGGACTACAAAAACTTACATCCAGGTTAATGATATCATAAACCCTTCAGGTTATCCCTCGCAGTGAAGGGGTGTGGCCAGATGCGCTGTAATGTTATAGCAGAGAAAGCTAAAATGCCATCCAAATGTTGCTATTTTCAGTTTTTTTTTTTTATTTGGACTTCCAAATGACACGACACAAAGAGAAAAATGCTTACAGTTTAATTTTAATTATTTTCTAGAGAATTATAAAAAATATATACCGCTAGCATTTGACAAAGGACAGCTTCACACAATTCAGTGCTGGATTTGACTAAAAACTCCTTCAAAGAAGGAGCAGCTCCTACCATAGTAGAAGAAGATGTGGATTGTGAGCTACAACCTGTAATGATTATTTTTTGTTCAAATGTATCTATTACATGCATAGTTTCTAGCGTTCATAGTATGTTGTTGCAAGAATGTAAACAAGACTGTAAACAGCGGGAAATGCTGTTTGAGACTATTAACAGTGTGGCTACAAATTCATATTTATCTGTCAAACCCCTGTAAACACTCACAATCTTCACTATGCTGCCGCTTTCCGCACATTCTGCATCTCAAATTATTAACTCGCAAGAGATATTTGAACGCTTCATATGACTTACACATGCTTAAAACCCAAATATATATGAAATACTTTTGTCAGGTTTTATTTTCTCTCTGATTCAGGCTCAAACTGATACGGCTATCAGTTAAAGTAACTGACACTATTTACATAATAGCAAAGCATGTGCTAGTAGAGGTGCAGCGCTTCCTGATGACGTGGAGCGATCCATGAATCAGAGCATATTATGTTAGCTGACCAATCAGAGCCTCTTGAAGGCAGGCTTTTAGAGGAACTAGAATATATAATAGTTGTTTTCATATTATAGAATTAAAGCTATATGATTAAAGTAAGATGTATAAAAAAAAAGCATAAAAACCCTTCCAGCCGCAACCCAGCACTGGGAAATACCCATACACTCTTGCATTCACACACATACACTGGGGACAATTTAGCTTATTCAATTCACCTACTGTATAGCGCATAGTCTTTGGACTGTGGGGTAAACTGTAGCACCTGGAGGAAACCCATACGAACACAGGGAGAACATGCAAACTCCACAGAAATGCCAACTGGCCAGGCCGGGGCGCGAACCAGCGACCTTCTTGTTGTGAGCTGATTGTGCTACCCACTGCGGCACCGTGACTCCCTTTATATTATTTAGTAAAGTAATTAAGAATTCCAAATATTTTTGAATTCGGTTCAATTTTTTTTGTACTAATGCGTCCAGAATTTTTTCGGTTTCACCCAGAACTTTCATTTAAGTACATACCTATCTAGAACACTGAAGTTTCCTAGGTTATGAAGTAGAAATGAAATTCAGTGTTTTCTGGTGCTGTTTCCATGCCTCTTTCTGTCTTGTCAAAAGCCAGCAGCTGCAATAGCTGTAATGTTACCTTGGAAGTGTGTTTCTTACCCTTACAATCTTACACAGATATTTTGCTTTAGGACACCATAAAGAGTTTTTCTTGTTCTGATTGCTATACTAATTGATGTGTCAGATCACATCCATTTGAAATTATTAGCCTTATTAGACTTGTCACATAGTTTAAAGCTGTGCTGACCTGGACCAATTTTTGTAGGCCGCGCTTGACCAACTAATATTATTTTGGTAAAATTCTGTGCCTAAAAAATGTGAGAATACTGCATTAACATAATAATGTAAATGAGATGTGTTTTTTTTCTCTTCATTTTATTTTATCACCTATATTATTATAACAAAAAGCACTGGTACCAGATGATTTTAATTACTGTTAAATTAATTTAATTTAATAACTAATTAATTTAATTTAATTACTGTTAAATTAATTAAAAAATGGTGAGAATGAGATTTCTCATTTAAATAATGGGGGTTTTGGGAAGCAAATGTCCTTATTTAATTACGAAATAAGGAAAATAATGTCACAGTATAAAACATTAATTACTCCACTGACTGAACATAACCATTATTTTATTAGAGAGAGAGAGAGAGAGAGAGAAATAGAGAGAGAGAAATAGAGAGAGAGAAAGAGAGAAAGAGAGAGAGAGAGAGAGAGAGAGAGAGAGAGAGAGAGAGAGAGAGAGAGAGAGAGAGAGAGAGAGAGAGAGAGAGAGAGAGAGAGAGAGAGAGAAAGAGAGAGAGAGAGAGATTATGTGATCCAACTCATCCCGGTCTCTGCACTTTAAAAGCAGATTATTTACTTTATTTAAAAAGCGAGTAAAGCAGTTGCCTCAAAAGCAGTCTCAGCATCAGTGACAGCATTTGTGAACTTGCCAATTAAATAATTAAATTCCTGTAATTTTTCAAAACATTTAGTAGTTTTGAGGACTAAGGTTGATAAACAGATTTATGCAAAAAAAAAAAAAAAAAAAAAAAACGTGAAAAAATATTTATCTGATACATTTTACAGCACTTTAATTCATGGATGTTTTCATCCAGAACATAACAAAAGGGTAGTAAATTTAAACTTAAAAAGTTTAAAAGTCATTCAGCGTTCTTGTGTTGATATGTATGTGTGTACTGTACAGTGCTCAGCATATATGAGTACACCTCTTACAAATCTATGTTTTTAAACTGATATTTTTAATAGGGAGCTGTACAATATTATATTTGTGCATATACATTAG